AAAGTTTCTCAAACAATGCTTACGTAAATCTTATCCTTTTTATATCTCAATCGTACGTTATTAAGAAGTGTTGCCTCATTCAGGTACATAAGAGCGCCTATAAATTAGGTCCAAATAAAACAAATTTATTAATCAATCAATTCAATTAACGTTAAATTAATTATTGTATATGAAAACAAGTTTGGCAGAATTGAAAATATAATTATCGTATTGTTTCTATAGATATACAGGTTATGCATATATTTATTGTGAGAATCAATTGGCAAAGATTTTTGTCGTGTTATCTGAAAAAATCTTTTACTGATTTTTATATACATTTATATTTTATGAGTGTTTATATATGAGTTGCAATTCTCTGTCTGTCGACTGAAACAATGGACTTAATTCTCACTAAACAATAAATAATTATATATTTTTATGTTGTTTTCATATATAATTTTTTCTCTCATTTTTATAACGCTTTTCTATTCTCTATCAACAGTTGTCTTACAATTGTCTTCAACTTCTTTATTATCGTCCTCTTCGGCAGGAAATACCCCATCATATGTCGATTGGATTTGCTGTCCAAATGAATATATTTATGATTATAACACATATTATTAAACATATTTTTATTTCTAATGATAATTTTATTTATAAACTTATAATTGCGTGCAAATTGTGTATGTCATGTATTTTAGCGTTTGGATTAAGGTTTTCGGGTACAAGTGCTTTAAATAATATTAATAATAATAATAACAAGTGGCTAAAAATATGTTTTAATATTTTAAATACTGTCCCAAATATTTCCCTGAATTTAATGAACGAGTTCGTGATTTTGAACATAATTTTCTTTCATAATTAAATGTGTTGTTAATAATACCGGTAATTATCTATCGGTCGTTACATTACATCACATAATAAATATGAATTATGCTATTTCTGTGTGAATGCGTGGGAATAATGAATAGCAAACTAAATGGTAAAATAGTGTATTGTATGCAACAAACCTTGTGATTGAAGGTCTGAACGGTGGGCCCGTTTGGCCCGATGTCCACAATGCGTCCCAAGACATAGCCATCGTTCACATCATTGGCCCACACTTTCTGAGATTCCATGA